CATTATCATATTAATATCAAAATAAATAAAACAAATAAAACAAATGCCATAAAGTACTTAATGTATCAGTTGTAACATTGCTTTTATTTTTATAATCATGTATAATATAAAAGATTCTAGTCACAATTCATATCAACATACAGCCAACTCCTATGCTATAATACACCCTGAAATATAGCACTGCAGATAATGACACAGGGAAAATAAAGTCTGAAAGTGTGATCATGACAAAGTTAGTTTTCACGCCAATAATATAATTTCATTATTTGAAGGCTAAAGATAAAGAAAACAGAATTTGCAATGAAAGCCACTGCAGTCTACTGAGATGCCGCCATGGTGGATGGAAACCTTCCAGTCATCCCACTGGCCCTTGTTTCCATTATCTAAAGGTTCAGGCTGCTATTATCATTCCTCCATAAGGCTGTAATGAAAAAGTGGGGTAAAACCAACAAGTGGATAAGGTGGACCTGAACATAAACTGCTCTGATGTGGTCCACTGGTACTATATTCTCATGAGCAGACTATAAAGTTCTGAGTGAGTGAATAAATTAAGAGAATACAGTACATGCTTCTCAGTGTTAAGATTTATCCAGAGGTCCAGTCATCATAAGCAAGTGGAGGACATAAAGTGACCCTCTAACTCATATGAACCGTATAATTTTTTATGGCCATGTCAATAAACAGCAGTCTGTGGCCCCTCGAGCGCTGCTGACCCTGAAGGGAGAATCTTTAAAATTGATTCAACAGTGCAGTATTCATAGGGTGAAAACCTCACCAAACATCTGAGCTACCAGGGGCCCAATAGGAGTCCCCACTTTCACTGGATATTTCCCAATTTTCTCATAATTGTGTCTACTCAACATAATCTAGCCCCAGGCCCCCCCACTATCCATAACCACTTCCCTTCAAGCCACGTTCACGCTCCGTCTCAATAAGAGCAGAGATGTGTTAAAACAGAACCGATCCTACTGCTGCCCCACATAACTATCAATGGCTGCCTTTCAGGCCCATGCGCACTGTTAGTATTGTCACAGGGTGGGCCATACATCGAGGCTCCTTACAGTACTTCTAAAAACCTGATACCTGCACGTGGTGTGGTAATGTGTGTGTGTGTGTGTGAGAATATGTGTGTTGTGACCTACGTCCTACCCTATGACGTACAGCAGCATATAGTGCAGACTCTGTGTAGTCTGCAGCTCTTTAAGTGAGAGATGGAGCAACCACAAAATGGTTTGGGATAACATCCCAGTTTAAAACCACGCAGTCACAATAATTCCTTGAATAACAACTCCATATAATATTCTGACTCTGCAAAACACGTCTCTTCACATGTACGTGTATGAGTTATAATAATCGGCAGTAAGTTAGGAGAGGTATTTAGATGTTTTTATTTGCTGTAGGATAGTTAAGAAAATCTAGGTTGTTAATATGGAGAAAATAGGTGTTTAATGGGGGGTTCATCTGAGAGGGGGGCATATGGAGGTGTAAGGTTGAAGGTGGCTACACCGGTTGTTGTGCACTGGAGACTTAATAGTTTCCCCTGACAGGCCACAGTGGGTTAATAAAACCATACTGTGATTTAAAAAGGGCCACGAGTGTCATGTGCGCGCAACTTTGGTGCTCATGTTGGCATTCTAGCCCGTTGAAAGCATATGAGAGCACAGAAAATGGGAGCCACCAGCACTCGTCTGGGGGCCACCTCCTTGTCCAGCAGCAATTCTCTGGGCTCTTTTTTTCCAGCTGGCTGGGTCTAGTTTGTATGGCCTAGCTGGAACCCTTTCAATTCTGTCCCACTTGTCCTCGTGTTGGTCTCCCTGCTCCTGACTGCCACCCTATGAATACCAAGCAGGCACACACACACATATACATACACACACACAAATTACAAGCTGGGTGTCTCTGAGCATAGTTGTATTAGGTCAGTCTTTAAACCCGGGCAACCGACACTCCCCTGTCTGCACGTGCATGTGTGTATACAGCAAGTGTCTACGCCTTTAAATGTGTCCGTTTAATGTGAGTGTTTATTATAGAGTCATTGATGCTTTGATGTTCCTCCATGACTTTAAAAAGGAGCATACCAGTGGTTTCACATGTTTGAGCCCATTAACTACAAATTACTTACATTTTATGTTGCTGCCAGCCGTTTTCCACCAGACTCACTTTACATGTTAAATGTATTTTTCCACCTTCCAGTCAAACATTTGTCCCAGGTCACTCTGGCACACTTGGAAAATCAGCTCAGAAAGAGTACTGAAACTTGCTTATATGTCTTTTTAGTATTTTTACTTCTATCAAAAAGGTTAGGTTTTCACCCATGTCTGTTTGTTTATTGGTTTGTTAGTTAGTTTGTTTGTCAGCAGGATTGCGCAGAAACTATTGAACAGATTTCAATGCAACTTGGTGAAAGGATTGGACATGGGCCAAAAAAGAACCAATTACATCAAGGGATCCAGGAATTGAGTTTGTCACTTTCTTTAACTTTGTGAGGTTATTTTTTGGATAATGATTCATGAATCTAGATGAAAAAAAATCTGACAAATTTAGTGGACTTATAACTATAGGTGCTTTTAGACATTTACTGGACTCCTCAAATCCTCCGTATTTTCTCCTGAGGAGGTGCATGTGTGAAAGCAATTGTCTGAGTGAGACGAGCCGCAGGTCTTTATACTAGGAATCCAGGCAGATAAAGTCCGTAGAAATCTAGGAGAAGTCGATGTGTGAACACAGCAGGGGATCCCCCCACTGAATTCACTGCAAGTGACTGTGTGTGTGTGTGTGTGTTTGTGTACTGGTCACTTCCTGTCTCTGTCTGCTGCACCCGGCTGCTCCGGCTCTCTCCTGAATAACACAGACGATTTGTTGCTGTTGTGAACACGTGCAGAGAACCTCCCGCTGTGTTGTACATGTGTGAAAGGCAGACTCTGGGTAAACTCTGTTGCCAAATCTTTGGATTTTTTCTGTCAAATCTTTAATTAATGTACCATAGTGCCTTTGGCGGAGGCATCTGCACTACTGAGTGCCATTCTAGTCATCAACTTATTTTATTGTAAGGTTCCATTTGTTGTATTTTTTTCTCTCTCTTGAGCGAAGTAAGATTTGCCTTTGTAAGCTGTATTGTTGGAAACAACATGGTAAACATTAATTACACTAATGGGGCTGTGTTGTGAGCTTTCTTTTCAATGAAATAATAAGAATTTCTCAAACAGCTTATATACAGTATATCACAGTGAGTGAAAGCCACAGAAGTCTGTCCAGTTTGGAAAGAGACCCAAGAGAAATCATGAAACATTAAGACCTACGGTTGCAATCATGCATATTAGCTGACCAACCACTGAATTGTACACTGGGTGTATCAACAAAACACTTGATTTTTAAAATACATTAAAATACTGTAAAAGCTACGGTTTAAACATGCTTGGCAGCAACGTTCGTCGGTGGGTAGGGATGTATTTCTTTTTCTTGCATTGTCATCAGTGACCTGTGAAGAAATTTCATTTGAGGGATTGCTTCTTTGTGCCAAACTAAATGGCCAAGATGTGTAATCCACTAACATTTTTCACATTACGGCCTTAATAGTGTTGTCTTATAGTTCCAGTCCAGTTCTGGGAACAGCTCCAAAGTAGACTTGTCCATGAGTGGTCCCATTAAATATACATTATCAGAACAACTGCACTCAAACTATGAAGCATTGTTCTTCTATTCTACGTTACAATATTCAACACAGATCATACTGCAAAAACGATGGTAGATATAAATCATCAAGACATTTATTTGTAACCCTTCTAATGAGATGAAAACCGGTAACTACGAAAATCGAAGAAACGCAGTCTCAAGAGAATAAACAGACCGTTCCGGCAAAATCAGGGAGTCCTGTCCAGCCATGTGTTTAGTATCAAGGGCCTCTAGAGGTTGCGGAAAACTCCTCAGTCCATGTGGTCGTATACATTTATATAAAATCATTTTCATTGTTCAGTTGTTCTACTTGACATCTCTCTCAGATAATCATCCCCTGCTCCTAGGGCAACATTCATACTACTACATTTTAATTTTAAAACTCAAACAGTCCACTTGAGCATTTTAGCTTTGCATCATTCATAATCCCTGCGACACACCTAAAAATGCACATCTTTGATGCTATAGAACTCCAAAGTAGTAGCATGGCACCACTTTTTAAAACTTAAACGTAGTTGTGTGAATGTAGCCTTGGTTTATGACTTGTGTTTAATCACACCTCCATGTAGGTTTTTCGCCTTTTGTGGGGTGTTGTTTAACAGTTAAAGAGAAACATCACAGTGTTTACTGGCTAGGCTGATTAAAGATGTTAAATTATATGCAAACAGAGCTACTAATCAGTGTGTATCACATCTGAGTTGTATTACAATTTGCTTCCTATGTACAAAAGATCAATTTCCACTGTAGATTCAGACATAATACAGCAGCACTCAGTTTAAATAAGTGTCTGGCAGCCATTCATGTAACTGTCTTCATGTTGTGAACATCCAACTTATAACCACATATAGCATAAGGCATATGGTTGTACTCACAGCATGCAAGTACACCCTATTCTCATTATAGCCTCTAGTTTTCTCATCTTCATCATAGTCAATGAAGAATTTATAATATCCCCTTACAGTGAGACTAGAAACAATAATGGAGATTTTTATCTGCCTTGCTGTTTTGGAAAACGACTCCTTCTCCAGCCTCAACCCTGCCCCTATTTCTTTGGAGGAGGTTGAACATTTTCGTAGTATAAACATTATTTTTCTCTGAATAGTTTCAATACTGTGCAAACATTAATGGAGTGTGCAGGGTTCTTTGTTGCAGTGGTGGAAAAAATATCTCATAACCCACATGCAGCCTGAAAACCCTTTCCAATCAATACATTCAACATTGCCAAAGTATATGTATAAAAAGCAAAGATGTCAAACAAAAAAGGTTTAGAGGTTTTATTTGCATGTGTCATTAAGCCGCTGAACTATGTTTCTGCAGTGTGTACTCACTGTGGCAGTGATGAGTGGACCATGAAGCTGTGCGTACAGCAGGGCCTTGTGAACGCGCCCCCTGACCTCCAGCAGGGCCAGTTCCAGGCTGTGGTGCCCGGCCATGGCGTGGGTGAGTTGCTCCAATAAACTCGTATACCTCCTCCAAGGCTGATCCAGCTCTGACACGCTGGCCAAGCAGCCTCGCATTACATTCAGACAGTATCCTACGCAGGGCTTGATAAGCGTCAAGCCTCTGCAGTGGGAGCAGTACACCATCTTCACGAGGCCCTTCACGCACTCTTTGCTCAGGCTGACGTGTTCGGTGGCATTCATCACCTCCACACCTTCCTCCAGTGCCAGCCCCAGTTGCCGTCCTGCTCCCAGTACCCCAGCCAGCTCCTGTGCCATGATGGATGGATGAGGCCCAAAGGGGTTGACATCCTGTCTGATCATACGAAGACAGTCACCCATTTCACCTCCCGCTGTCATACTGCCTTCGATACCTGGATTGATGAGTCGTGTGTAGACGAGTGGGAAAAGGTTGTTGTAAAATTGGTGAACTGCAGCCTCCACTGAAACATTGGCCCCACGGAGGTAGAGGGAGAGTGAGGAGAAGAGTTGATTTACATGGGGTAAGGTTTGGCGGGACAGGGAGGAGTAAGTTCCCTCCAACAGAGAACTCAGGTGTCCCTGAGAGAAAGATAGCAGGTACTGGAACATGTCTGCAAGGCAAGCACAGGACAAACACAGAGATTAGAAGATACAGCAGGAGGAAACACAAGGACATGTGACAAATTTTGACTTGACTTTGACTCATTGATGGCATGATCCAAAAGCTCTCCGTGAAATGGGCAAGGCATTCAAAATGAAAACACATTTCCCAACCCTGGCTCCCTACCAGCAAAGCTTGGCTTGTGTGTATCAGTAAGTTGGCTCAGGAACCAGTGTCAAGTTTCCCTATAATGCAGTTGGATATCATTGTGTATGAAGTCATCACCCTGATAAGTTTGTTTTGAGAGAGAGCGACACACTTGAACATACTGCTGATATGAGCACCAACCGCAATCAGTTTCCATTTTCTGTGGCAAATACATATTTGCTGTTCTACAGGGGATTCTAGATTCTACAGGGATTTCTGGCACGCAACCAACCTGCAACGCACATACACGAAAATAGTTGAGTCATCAGCTTCTTGTGTCATTTCCTGGTGAGCAAGTGAAACTACAAAGCAATCAATGATGTCATTGCAGAGGCTGATGAGCACCAATGAAAAGCCACTTTTTCCTCAGCAAGGTTTTGTAGCAGAGCAGAAAAGCACAATGAGAGGAGACAGATAAAGGCGGAGAGAAGGAATAACACTTTGCAGTCTGCATTTGTCTCTCTGTCGGTTTGCAGGTTTTTGCACAAATTCCAGAACTGATTTCAATGATTTTGCATGAAGGAGTGGGGTGTGACCCAAGGAAGAAACCATTCAATATTGGATCGGCATAAACGGGCGGATCCATGAATTTTTGTTTCCACTTTCTTTAACATGGTGACACAGGGCGTTAGCTTTGGCGGCGGTATGTGCCCTCTGAACACCCTTCTAGTCCAATTTAATTTTGCCAGAAAAATATGTACAAATTTCAAAATGACCCTTGCACATGAAAGATATGGTCATTCTTACTGATTACTACATGGGCTGGAACCTTTACTTTACAGCCAACTCATCCTCTTATCCCATTCTCTCCTTGACAGCCCAACCACTTAATCTTATAAGCCTGTGTCCGTTTCTCCTTCTCTCTGCACAGTCCCTCCAGCGTGCAACTGTGTGGCACTGTACGCACATGTATGTGTGTTAGTTTGTATATACGTGTCCTGGACACAACACTCTCCTCTGGGGTGTGATGTCAGCGTAAAAGCATGCCAGGACGCAAGGGGCTGCAGCAACTGTACAGAAATTGAGACAAGAGAAGGAGGGTGCCAACATACATACTCCAAAGATCACTGCACACGCACAGGGATACATGTGCGCACACATATATATAACATACATAGGACATAAATATAAATTTGAGCAAAGTTTTTAAATTAGGTTTTCTTGACGTGAGATCATTTTCATTCATAAGGATACATAATCCTATAGAGAAGCCACAGCACAGTTAACAAATGAGTGTGTGTGTGTGTGTGTGTGTGTGTGTGTGTTTGTGTGCCTGTGTGTGTCCAGCCCCTCCCTGCTCACAGACAGAAGGATAACAACAGTCATGTCCTCCCCAACAGCTGCACTAATATGATCGCTGTCTGTGACACACAGGGACTCCCCAATGGTCTGTAAACGGCACCAGTCATTTGTAATACTCCAGAAAACACTATCGTCATGATCAGCACAGCTCCCGCTCATAAAACATTTAAAGATGTCGCCTATTAAACAGGTTTTGAAGAGAGTGATGTGTGTGACCGAAATAAAGTGGACAGACGTGAGATGTAATGGTCTGGTAGGTATTATTACTCTCCAGACATATTCAGCTAATGACAGACCAACAAAAGCAAAGAAATGACAAACCAAAATAGAAATGGTTCCACTTCTAAGCCCGTGAGGCAGCAGAGCTGGTACCAATGTGGGGCCAGCCTGCTCACCTTCCAGTCAGGCTGCAAGGCTCAATAGCCACAAGATATTCACACCACAAGATGTATCCACCGGCTCAGGTTACGCAGCATTACATAATGTTTTCAGAAAATAATCATGCTCAGAAAATGTTACATTTGTGGTGGGGACAAAAACAAAACTCTCCTCCGCATATCAAGATTTGTACATGGAGGAATCAGTCAAGGTTTCCCCCCATGATATTCACATTTAAAAATCCAGTCTTAAGAGGGCCATGACTGGACGCACGTCTCGCTGAGGGTTTGTGACAGGCTCATTAAATCCTTAAGACATTCGGTACTTGTTAAAAAGGCCTTTTTTCTTTTTTTAATTTGCCAAGAGTGTGACACAGGGAGAGCATGAAAGTGGGGGAAAAAAAGGAAGAGAGAGTGGGAGCTTGCCAGGAAAAAAAATGGAATAAAAAAGAGAGAGTGAACTTTAAAACAAGGAAAAACAACTACTGTACAAGTGGACTCCACCTTGTGAACATCCTCAGACATCTGGATTCATTTGGCCCCTGGGTCCGGAGCACTTCCCTGTCTCTCCATGGCTGAGAGTTCAAACATGTCCTTCCCTGAACAAGGACAAGAATCCACCTTTCTTCCTCTCCACATGTCCTCTGACAAACACAAAAGTGGATCGCATGATTCATTCATTTTCTGCATCTGTTATTTCCTGTCTTTTATCAAGTTCTCTCCCACACGCAGATAAGGTTTCTCATTCTGTGATAAATCGAAGGGAATCGTTGTGGGTTTCTCTGTACTTCCAGTACTGGGAAACAGGTTAAAAACAAAACAAAACAAGAAACCAAAGACAGAGAGCTTTTTACGTCCTAACTACAACTGCATGAGAGTCAGTTGGGGTTGATTGTTCTGTCTGACCACTGTCTCTGAATCTGGATTTGACCACACTCCACTCAGACACACTGTTGTGGGTGGCTATCATTACCATGTCACAGTGTCCCATCAGCATGCCTCTTGGGAAATGAAGACTGACTGGACTGAAGCCATTTTGCGTGAAGCAATTATGTCTAATTTGCAAGGAAGTTCTCAAAACACTGACTTTTAAAACACATAATTGTGACGCTAACTATACAGAAATAAATGAACAGGTCTGCTTTGTCTGTGGCCCCGTGGGGGTAATTTAGCATGCTCTCTGCCTGGAATAAACAAGGTATTCAATGGATAAAAAAGCAGTGCGATGGGACATTATACCATATCTTTCCATCAATGCTGTGCCAAGGCCCCTTTCTGCGATCACAGGGTTTCAATCATAAGAAGTTATTTCCACTTTACATTCTGCATGGCAACCCAGTGTTTTACCAGCACAATTAAATCTAGAATGTCACCATGGTGAAGCTGCCACAATAACTGAGTCAAAATAAGCATAGTGGTGCCTCTGTGATTTGAGTCGCTAATGTAATGTTCCTTGACTTAGCTGCAGAGTGGTCTCTGATTTCTAAGCCACTTATACAGATGTCTGTGTGTGTGTGTGTGTGTGTGTGTGTGTGTGTGTGTGTGTGTGTGTGAGCAGTATTGTCGCAGTATGTGAAGGTAACCAAGGCCAAGGCATCAGTGCTGGGTTGCCAAAACTCGGCCCAGACACATGGTACCATAATGTCAGGGCAGGCAGGTATGTGTCTGATAAAAATAATTATACTGTGTTACTATTACCATCAGTTCTAGAGGCAAGCTAGTTTTGATGTGGTTTTATGTTAATTGTTATTGTTCTTGTTTTTATTATTTAAAATAGCACTTAAAAATGTCCAACTTTGGTGGCTCCTAGTGGTAATATGGTGGACAGACACTGGCAGACATGCATGCATGCATGCATGCCACAAAGCCACAGCATATTGCTGTATACAAGACCAGACTTAAGACAGTGAAGCTGAGCCTCAAAAGAAACATAATGAAAAATAATGAAAACATTTTATCCAAAGGAGAAAGTCTGCCTAACTTGATAAACCAAGTCAGAATGCAGAATTTCCCAAAAGTCCAATGAAGAGTATCACCAAGAAGTAATATTCTATGTGTGACTCAAATAAACAGAAAACATTGACTTTATATTTCTTGTGTAATTGACCTTTTAACTCAAATGAATCATACTTTATCTTGTGTGCATTATATTGACATTTACTCCTGTAAACATTTTTTAGATCTGTGGTGAAAAAGAATTTCTACGACATTTGCTCAAAGAAATGCAAAAGTAACACACAATAGTGAAATTTCACCTTTACTCTTTAAAGCCCTATGGATTGAAAAATGCACTGTCCCTCTTTTGGTTCTGTGTCACTGTCTTAACTTGTTTCTCTTAAACAGAAGATATGTCAAAAAACAATATCACAGTATGTTTACATCGAAATCCTTCTGTTCCTGTAAAAGGGTTTCAACTCTTCAATGAATAGTCATGCACTGTCACTGATAAAGTTTTGTTGAAGATTTAACATCATAACGTTTTAGGTTGACTCTTAACTCTGTCGGTGAAAAAATGGGAAACTCTAAACTGTGTGGCCCAAGAACTTTCCCCATCCTACATCAGTGGTGTAGCCCTGAGTTAAATATACAAATACATTTAAATACTTGTCATAAGCGAGACTGCATATTTTAAGGAGTGCAAGCATGAGTCAGTGTATTGTATGTCTGTATTTTTAAGTACGTACATATGTGCCTATAGACGTGTGTGTGCATGTGTGTGTGTGTGTATGGTTGCATGTGCTCAGAGATGTGGTAATATTGTGATAATGAGGTAGGAGACACTGTTCTCATACCATGGAGCTGTGGGCCATTCCTATCTTGGCCATCAGTCCCAACCAGACCTGGCCAACCATCTTCTCAGCAAAGAATTTTAATCCCACCATAGGCTAGGGTTTCAGACAGGTCACCACAAAGATATGTGACATAGTGACACGTGTGTAGATTACATATCCTTGTTTTAATTAGTAGAAATACTGTACATAGGGCCATATCCCACACAGCTCTGGTCATCTTAGGTTACAGGGGAGAGCTGCAATGTCATACACTCTCACAGCCTCTAACCTTTCAGCAGACAGTTTAATGGTAATAAACTATTAATAAGTCAATTAATCAATCAATCTGTTGA